ACCATCACTGACAAACTGATGCATGTATGATGTAAACGAGCCTGTTCTGCTGTAATGTACACGTGTACCAGTGACGGCTCATTGGTGTCGCGTTGCCCATTCTGTCATAAGAACTAGTCTGGCTGTATCCCACTGTCCTTCTGATATGGGGTAAACAAATGCTTTTGCTTGTTTGTATTTCTTTAAACTGATCAGCAAAATCAACAATCCAGCATAAAACAGCAGGGCGGTCTTCCTGAGCAATGCAACTCGTCTGTAAAACACACAGCTGTCAGTGTGGCAGGCTGCTGCTTGGAGGTTGTTGTTGGTTCTCTTGGTGAAGAAAACACACACAATGGAACTAAAGACAAAGCCGACAACAGCCATCAGCGGCTTACGCCCACAGTCTACATGTGGTAAGTCAGACTGCTTGCTGATAGATGCTAACGGGGCTACTTCCTCTAGCAGTGCTGCAGGTTAAGAAGGAGGTCATGAGCCTCTTTGACTGTTACATGGAGTTGTAAAGGTGCTGTGAGAGCATTTTGTGAGAGTTGTGATACTTCAAACATTGCTCCACAGACAGCTTCACAGGTGTGAGGACAACAGTGCCATGCCTCCTTCCCTCTTTACGAATTTTTAACTTAAAATCTGAAGTAACTAATGAAACTAACTAAACAGAAAGCAGAAGCAAGGATGCTGGTCTGGTCTCAGAAAATAACCACACAAACTGCAGCTTTCCCACGAATGCCAGATCCATCATCAACAAAACGGACAAACTAAAAGTACACATCTCGACTGACAAACTCGTACAGGACTGTTGTATTCTGCCTACAGTGGAGACTTGGCTTTACCCACTCATTTCCAGAGCCAACAAGTCGACAGAGGATGCCACTGCTCTTCACACTGCACTGACCTACCTTGAACACCAGGGGGGCTATGTGACTATGCTTTTCTAGTCAATCAGTCACACCTTAACTCTGTCGATGTGCTCTGGCAGCGAGTCGATCAGCAGGTCTCCCACTGGCTCCCACGCGTCCTTCACCATCTCTGCCTGCCTCAGCTGTCCGTCCAGCAGGTCCTCTGCGTCCTGGAGTTCCATCAGCCGGTCCAGAGCCAGCTCCAGCCTTCTTTGCCAGTCCGTTGAGTTTACGTTGAGCCGGTCCCACTTGCTCATCACATCATCTGCTTCCTTGCGCAGGATTCGCCCCACGTTCTGGGCGCGCTCCTCTGGACTGATATCTGAGGGTTGGAAAAAAAAAAAA